CTCGCGGCGTCGCTCGACGTCGACGTCGGCGACGTCTCCCTCTCGGTGACGGCCGGACTACTCCTCTTCACCGTCGCCGCGCCGTCGCAGGCCGAGGCCGCCGCGATTTCCGCCACGGCGGCCGGCGCGCTCGGCACCGCCGCCGCCGCCTCGCAAGTCCTCGGCGTCTCTGTCCTGGATGCGCCCGACGTGGAGACGCTCGACACCGCAGTCTCTCCGCCGCCGCCCTCTCCTCCCCCTCCACCCTCGCTGCCGCCGCTGCCGCCGTCGCCGCCGCCGTCGCCGCACTCGCCGCCCCGCACGTACTCCGCCCCCAAGCTCGCCGTGACGTACGCGATCCACGCCGTGCTGATGGGGCTCGCGTGGCTCGCTCTCGCGCCGCTCGGCGCCGCGATTGCCCGCTACAGCGCAAAGGCGGTGGGCGGCAGCGGTGGCGGCGGCGGGAAGCAGCCGGTGGTGTGGTTCCATCTCCACCGCGGCCTCATGGCGGGCGCCGTCCTGCTGACGGTGGCGGGCGCTACAGTCTCGTACTCGATGGTGGAGGAGCACCACTCGTACACGCACTCCGTCCTCGGCACTGCGATGCTTGCTGGCTGCGTGCTACAGGTGTGCTCGCCGGCCCCGCACGTAGCATGCCGAGGGGCTCCCCTTCCCCGTCTCACGGCATGGAGATGCGGGCGCCCACTCTATCGTGTGCGGAGACGCCCCACCCCACCAACGAGAGGAGCCCTTCCCTCACCATGCCTTCCTTCGCCACGCCCTGCAGGGCGCGGGCGGCGCAATCCGTCCCGCAAAGGAGTCGCCCTACCGGCGGGCGTGGCGGCGGGCGCACCGCGCCGGCGGGCACGTGGTTTGGGCCGTCGGCCTCGCCACCGCGACGACGGGCGCCTTTCTGTACGACGACCTCCTCGCCGAGCGAGAGCAGGCGGGGGGCGGCGTCGCGAAGGCGCTGGCCCTCGTGATGGTCGGCGTGTGGGCGGCGGTTTGGGCTGTGCTCGAGGTGCGCGCATGGTGGCGCCACGAGTCGAGCTCGGACGGCGCGGCCAAGGTCGAGACTAGGGCCCACGGCAGCGCAGGGGTTCGAGCCAGACGCGCGGAGCCAGAGTCGTCGCATGATTGCTGAGCGTTGGGGCGGGCCATGTTCGCTCTGTCTCGAAGGAATTGCCAGCGAGAGGCCCCCACGCCGCCGGCCGCCCCGTTCTGCGCCCGTTCTAGTGCCCGCAGTGAGAGAGCGGCAAAGAAGGAAAATAAAATGAGAAGTAGAGCATCAACCAAGACGAGTTGGATAGTGGGGCGCACCGCCCGGCCATGTGGTGACATGCGTCTGCGCCCTACACAGATCTTGTGTGAGGCTGTGAGGGATCTTCAATCCGTCCTGCGCAAGAGTCAGAGAAAAATGATGACGAGACTTGGAGCACTTGAAGACAAGTGCGGGGTATCCGCCTTCCCCTCTGACGTTCCTCATTTACTTATTGCGCTTCTACACCGCCCTTCCTCGCAGCGCCTCCAAAGCACCCACCCGCGCTGCCGCTGGGTCTCGGGTTTGACGCCTACACGCGAAAAAGAAGTTGGCATAAAACTCCCTCTCTCGGCCCTAGGACGGGGCAGAATTCACGGCTCAACTCTCTCTCGCGAAAAAGAATTAGGCCAAAATGCCATAACACCCGCGCTGGTGTCCAGTCCGAGCCTGACTGTTCTTCACCTTCCTACCTAACCTAACCCTGTTGCCTGCGGCAAGGGGGGGGCAACCCTCGCAACTTCACACCCAGACAGAGAGGAGCCCCACGGCATTCAAAGATCAAAGTGCTCCCCCCCCCCCCCCAA